TTGGTGAAAGATAAAGAGGTTGAACTTAGAAATCTCAAGTCCAGGCCGGGCGCGGTGGCTCACACCCGTAATCCCAGCACTTTGGGATGCCAAGGCGGTGGATCACAAGGTCAAGAGATCAAGACCATCCTGGTCAACATGGTGAAACCCTGTCTCTACTAAAAATACAAAAAATTAGCTGGGCATGGTGGCGCATGCCTGTAATCCCAGTTACTCAGGAGGCTGAGGCGGGAGAATTGCCTGAACCCAGGAGGCAGAGGTTGCGGTGAGCCAAGATCGTGCCATTACACACCAGCCTGGGTAACAAGAGCGAAACTTCGTCTCAAAAAAAAAAAAAAAAGGTCCAAATGTGAAACGACTGAATGGTGCCCCAAAGAGGTATCCTTCATAATGATTCAGGGAACAAGAGCTTAGCTTCTCTTTTAGCCAAACAGGTTCATTGGTGACAGTCAAACCTAATGGCTTCTATTGCCGTACAGGGAAATGAAGCACCACAGGACAGGATCATGGAAAAGGCAGTGGCAAAGTCAGAGCCCAGTTTCCCAAACCAAACCAGAGAAGTTTCTAAGTCCCAGTGGATAAATTAGAATATGGTCCAGGCTGGGTGGGGAGGTGCAGGTTGGAATTCGGGCAGAGCTGAGAACAGGAAGCCAGCACCAAAGCCCAGGTAAAGCAGAAAGGCCCAGATCAGAGAGCCTGAGGCTTGAACTGAGCACGGAAAACTGGTAACAGCCAGAAGACAAGTCCCCAGGGAAAAGCGTGAAGCAGGGCCTTGAAGTGGACTGACCATGGCCTGCCCTCTGCTTTGTTTGAAGCAACCTTCCTGGTGTGGGCAAATGGTGGCTGCCAGTCAGGAGTTACTATCAGAACAAGGACAGGCCCAGAAGCTGTCAGCAGTTGCAGCAAATCTCTGGGGAAGCTTCCTGATTCTAGCAAAGAACTAGAGAATTCAAAGGAGGAGCATAGGAGTGAGGGATAACCTGCTTTTAGAATGATAGGGGTCCCTGACCGCAGACATACCTGTCTCTACCAGAGCCAAAGACTCCTTCTACCCTATGGATTAAGGTCAAGGGAATCATGAATGAATTTTAAGATGCTTCTGAGCTACAGAGTTTCTCCATTCCTTGGACTGGAATCAAAGTTGTAGGGCAGGGTGCTCCTGAAATGTATGAAGCCATTCATAACTGAAGGAGATGGATTGGGAGGTGGAGAGAGAGATGGACAGAGAGAAAGAAGTTTGGGGGAGGGGAGGAGATGCAATATTAGGTTAATGGGAAAAGGTACAGTGACCTCATGATGCGAAAATCCTGAATTAAATGCCATTTCAATAGATCTCTATTAAGTATGGAAAGAAATGCGCTGTAGAACTAAGCAGATGGTACCCAGAAACTCAAAAACAATGACTATAGTGGCCACTCTAAAAAAGCCAGTTCCTAGGAATAGCTGGTAGCTGGCCAACATTTTCAGCTGGAAACTATGAATTCACTTTATTTGGGGACATCTAAGGCTTCAAGGCAGGATATGATGAGTCCAATCAGTGCCGACAATCCACCCTACAAAGATTTCAAGAACATATCCCCTCCAGGCCATTCTCACCACCTGTGTTTGAATGCAAGCCTTCTCCACTTCTCACCTGAATTCCTGAAACAGCCTTCCAACTGGTGTAACTGGGCCAAACTCTCTCTACCACCCCCATCCGCAGATGGAGGCCACAATGTGTTTCTTGGTTATGTTCCAGGAGCCACTGACCCACGGAAGTGAAAATTGATCTACCAGGGATTCTCTTTGCATGGCCTGAAAGCCCTTCTGTGGGTCCCGTGTGGGTGGGTCCACTGTCCACACACTGAGCACCCACCCCAGGAGTGGAGAAGAAGGGAAGTATACAGTCTTTGAAGAGAAACTACCATGCACATACCCTGCTTTGGTCCCTCAGCCTGCTGCCCTGGGGCCATATTTGGCCCTAACCTAGGGAACACTGAGTGGTGATCATTAAGCTCCTGTCTGTCCTCCCCTGGTAAGCAAAAATTTGATTCATTAAGTCATCTCTCCCTCAATTCATCCATTCATTCACTCATTTAATAAATATTCATTTAATAAACATGAGTGGATACTAACACATACCAGGCAATGCTCTAGGAGCTGGGGATACCATGGTGAACAGACACTGGGAAGACTGTGAATACCTTTATTCTTGATGGCTTACTGCCATGACCCACAACCTTTCTCAGCAGAGCAAATTCTCTCTGCAGAGGAATCATGGAAGCAGAAAGGAAGAATATTTCAACATTGGAGTACGTGAAACCACAGGTCTGCAGAATTCTCTTCAAGGGGAATCTCACACGGAACTGGTTTTCAATATTGACTCTTGCCTTCGGCACCACAAGCTTATCTTTGGTTTCCCCTGGTCTAAGTTCAGGGTCCCCTAGACAGTCTCAGGATGGGGGACACTCCACCTATTCTGGGCAGCTCTAGTCCCAATGCACTCACCTACAAGCTGTGGGACCTTAGACAGGCTGTATTACTCTGTTCTCACACTGCTGAAAAAGACACACCCAAGACAGGATAATTTATAAAGAAAAAGTGGCTTCACGGAATCACAGTTTCACGTGGCTGGGGAGACCTCACAATCATGGTGGAAAGCAAAAGGTGTGTCTTACGTAGTGGCAGATAAGAGAGAATAAGAGCCAAGAGAAAGGAGTTTCCCCTTATGAAACCATCAGCTTTCATGAGACTTATTCACTACCCGGAGAACAGTATGGGGAAAACCACCCCATTATGCAATCATCTCACATGGGGTCCTTCCGACAACACGTGGGAATTATGGGAGTTACAATTCAAGATGAGACTTGGGTGGGTACACAGCCCAACCATATCACAGGTTGATTCACATTTCTGAGCTTCTGAAAAAATGAAAATCATAAGAATCATCACTAACACATAGATGGCTTACCCTGTGCAAAGCACTATTCTTCATGCTTCACATGTGTTACCTGGGCAAGGCTCAGGACAACCCCTTGAGGTGCATGTGCTTGTTATTGCCATTTTACAGGGGAGGAAACTGAGTCTCAGAGAGATGAGTGGCAGAGTCAGGATAGGAACCCAGGCAGTCTCCCTCCAGAGCCCATGCTCTCAATAGCTCTTTTGTCTTGCTGGCTAGTCAGCTGCAGGCTCCACGCAAAGCACACATGGAAACCCAGCAACTCACCTCCTTCTTGTGTGCTGTCCTGCTAGATCACTACTCACCACAGCCCCCAGACCAGCTGGTATAAATTCTCCAGGTCTGGGCCACCCTTCAGAATTTAACACATACTCAGATGTACATCTGAGGAACATAAAACACTGAAAAATGAAGCCTTTATTTTACCTCCTCACAAAAGAGCTTGTTGCCTTGTTTATGGGACATGAAAAATCAAGATTGCCTTTTTGGCTGCCAAGCGTAGTCTACTATTTTGAGACAGGTCTTTGTGAGTAAGTAAAAATTATTGCTTTCATTATAGGCATTCCCCTCCGGCTCTAAAACTCCATGATCCAAGGCACAGCACAGTAAGTGACTGCCCAACAGGACGGCTTCCTGCATTTCTTCGGGTGAAAAGTTCAGTCCCAGGATCTCTCAGTGTGGCGCCTGCCAGCCATCATCGTGAAGGATTGTCTTGCAAGCTAATCTCAGTGTGTTATGCCATTGCAGTGGGTAATGACACATAGCAACGCCTAAATCATAAGAATCAGCTTCACCTAGAAGAAAAGAACAGAAAGAGAAGTACTCGCTTCCTTGGCCTGCTGGGATTCAACTATTTAGGATCATTCAAAACCACGAAAGCTCAGAAAAGCCAAAAAGTTGTGAGTTCTAGAATTCCCTTTTGACAACCCTCGAAACAGCAGTTGGTCTCATGAAAGGGAATGAACTTTACAACAAAAGAGACCTGGCCTCTAATCCAGGCTTTGCCCCTTACTGGGTGTGTGACCTTGAACTTGTGACTTCTCTGAGCCTGTTCCTTCATCTACAAAAGACAGATAATAAAACCCACTTTGTTGGGTTGTCCTAAAGATGAAAGGAAATATGGTAAGCAAACTATAATAGTGTCTGAAATGTAGGAGACATTTGATAATATTTCTGATTTTATTTTAAAAGTACAGAACTTTTTGGGGGATCATTTTGCTGGGTCCCTGTTTCATTATAATTTAACAGCGTTCATAAGGGATTTTTACAGAAGCCCTGAAGGACTAGCACACCCAAAGTATAGAAAATTCTGCTCTCTATATCCCATGAACCAGACTTTCCACATCTTTAGTAATTAGTCATAACCATGACTCCTGAGACACTGCCGGCTACTAATGTATCTTCTGAATCATCAAAAATAGATTGACTTATGTTTTAAGTGGCACTTTTTCAAAGGTATTTTATAATGTTGTTTTTTGGATACACATTTGCAAAGGAAGAGATTTTTTTTTTTTTTTTTTTTTTTTTTTTGGGCATGGCTGAGTGCCAATAAAGCTTTATTCACACAAACAGGCAACAGATCAAATCTGGTCTGTTCATAGTTCACTGAGTCCTGTTCTGGGTCACCATTAACTTCAAGATATTTAGGGAGACAGAAATATATACGATATTTCCAGGTATCGTTCACCTGAGGTGTATTGTAAAAAGAGTAGAAGCATAGCTGGTAGATGTTTCTGATGGAGGATATTTTTATTTTTACCCCTGTTTATCCTGGGATCCAGAAGAGATATTCTTTACTGTTCTCTGAAGACAGAGTGAAATAGCTCCCATTTCCCCAGTTCTTATTAATTTCTAATTAATGCTTCCTGTACAGAGAATGAATATGACAAGGGTTACTGAAGTTGCCTCAAGCATTCAGCTGCCGAAGTTTAAAAAACTACACAAACCTTCAAAGAAAAGTGTTTAGTAATCAGGGTCCTCGTATCACCAGTGGAGGGGGTTCAGGTTCTTGGCATCTTGAGCAAAGAATTGGACAAAACATGCAAACAAAGCAAGGAAAGCATGAAGCAACGAATGCAGAGATTTATTGAAAATGAAAGTACACTCTTCAGTGTGGGGGGGCGACCCAAGCATAGGGGCTCAAGGGACCCTTTACAGAATTTTCTGGGGTTTAAGTACCCTCTAAAAGTTTCCCATTGGTTACCTGGTATACACCCTATGTAGATGAATGATCTGCAATTAGTCTGACTGGTTGCAGAAAGCAACCAATCAGAGGCTGAAATTACAAAGATTACACCTACACAAGCCTCTGACTGGTTGCTTTCCACAACCAATCAGAGGCTGAAGTTACAAATGTTACACCTATGCAAGCCTCTGACTGGTTGCTATCCACAACCAATAGGAGGCTGAAGTTACAAAGATTACACCTATGCAAGCCTCTGACTTGTTGCTTTCCACAACCAATCAGAGGCTAAATTGAAGTTACAAAGTTACATTTCTAGTCAAAGAAGACTTGGCCAGCAAACAGTCTGATTGGTTGCAGAAAGCAGCCAATCAGAGATACTTTCAATTTTCCATCTGCCATGCAGAAAAGGGGTTAGTGGGTGGGTGGTGAGTACCCTCGTGTTTTTTTTTTTGTTACTTAGGTGTGGAAAGTTGGAGTTTTCTTTTTGATTTAGTTCTAGGAAGTCAGAGTGAATCGTCCTTAGGTTCCCTGCCTCCAGATGCTATTCTCCTGCCTCACCAGAAGGAAATAGGTGGCACACACAGAGCAGGAGTTTTAACAAAGGAGTGGGCCCACCTCGCTGTTCTCCCCACTTTGGATTGCCTCCTTTGCCTGGCATTGGCTGGACCCAACGAGAAGCCCTACAGCAAAGAGAGTCACCCCTGATTTAGTCAGCCTTCCAGTCCAGCCTTCCGAGGCACAGAACACGCTGAAAAAGAGAGAAGAGTGGATTCAGAAGGGCTACAGAAAGATATTCCTCATATTCTTATCTCATTATCCCGTGGTACACCACTGCAATGGGGAAATGTTTGTCTTTTTAAATAGCTACAATGTAAGGGCTTAAAATCCTCTCTGAACAAAAAGTTTTCAAAAAAATAAATCATCCACTTTCCATATCACTAGGAATAATTTCTAAAGCATTGTATTCATTCCACAAGTCTTTTTTTTTTTTTCATCTGCTTGAGAAACCAACATTTCTGCTAGGTTGCAACATAGGCGTACCTGACTATACCTCAACATTCTCAAAAATCACACACTTAAATTACAGCCTTTCAGAGAAAAATATGATTGGGCAGACCACTCCAAACCTATGCAACTTTGGAACCAGAATACTCACAAAAAACAGTAATTGGTTCCTGGGGAGACAACAGGAACCCAACATGCAGGCAGCTCAGCCTGGCTGGAAGCTGTCGCTGGGCCATTAAAAATGCACAGAAACTGTGGCTCATGCCTATAATCGCAGCACTTTGGAAGGTTGGAGCAGGCGGATCCCTTGAGTCCAGGAGTTCGAGAGCAGACTGGCCAACATGGTGAAACCCTGTCTCTACTAAAAATACAAAAATTAGCGAGGCATGGTGGCAGGTGCCTGTAATCCCAGCTACTTGAGAGGCTGAGGCTGAGAACTGCTTGAATCTGGGAGGTAGAGGTCGCAGTGAGCCAAGATCATGCCACTGCACTCCAGCCTGGGCAACAAAGCAAGATTCCGTCCCCCTCAAAAAAAAACAAAAAAGCACAGAAACAACACAGTAAACATATCAGCCGCACAGCAGTTAAAGCAGAGCTGGGAGTGTGGAGGACCATAAACAGAGGGGTGGCTCCTAGCCAGTGGGGCTACAGCAAAACTGGGCCCGGTGGCAGCCCCATCTAACCTAGTCGAGAGCTGTGTCTCTCAAGGGAGGGGCTCCAGAAACAGGCCTTCATCTTAATTTTCTCAAAATTCAGCCAAAAGCCCTTGCTGCTTGGGCAGCCACTGAATTTATTACCCCCTTCGTGATAAATGTATGATCTATTCCGGCTCCTCTTGTGTTCCACTCCCATGATCTATTCCGGCTCCTCTTGTGTAAGAAAAATCATATATGAACCCAAATGACTTCCACATTCTTACACTGGTATTGTCTTCACCTGCTTCTCTGGAAAACAGCTCTGAGGCAAAACTTACAGGTTATTGGGGGTGGGTGTTTGCAGGAGTGATGGGGAAGGGGAATGAATCAGGAAAGAGGAAAGGAATTTAAAGTTGTGTTACCAAGACAGCCACAGTTTTATGAAAACAGCCCTGGTTCCCTGGGTCATGTGGGTCATCTCCAGAAAGTTCACAGGGAATTACTGCATCTCAGGAAAGATGGCAGAAGGGAGGCTGGCAGTTGACCTACCAGCTTCTTCTTGTCTCCTGTCTCTCATTGCTAAGGTTTACCTCACAGTACAAGAATTCTGCTAACCTCCAGGTGGAATCCCACCCCAGATAGCCGCCAAGGAAACTGGAGTCCCTGAGGGTTGGACAGAATGCCGTCGCTGTCACAGCCCCTAGAACCTGACCATGACCCTGTGCCCAGGGGAAGATGAGAGGATGAGACAGCCAGCTGTGCTGGGAGACCAGGTTGCTGCATGAGCTGTCTAGAAGCCTCCCTGGCCAGGAAGAGGGGGATGCAGGTGCCGAGAACATTTGGAAGGGCACAAAACTGGGTTCAGTACTGACATTATTCCCTTATTTACAAATTGCACTCGAGCAAAATTTTGCCCTAACATTTCACATGATAGCAAAACAGACTGCACTGTGTTAAATCAAGTTTAGCCTAAAGCTGCCTCCTTACATATTTTAAGCTTGACCTTAAATATTTTGAGTTCAGGACATCGTGAACTATAGCTAGTGGACGTGTAAACACACCATAACCTACACTTGTGCCAGTCACTGAGTTTTGGCCAATCAAACGTAGCCAACCGTTTGAACCATGTGCAAATAAGGCACATGCCAACCTGTAACCAATCCAGCTGTTTTATACCTCACTTCCATTTCCCATACATCACTTTCCTTTTTCTGTTGATGAATCTTCCACCATGTAACTGCGCTGGAGTCTCTGAGCCTACTCTGGCTTGGGAGGCTGCCCAATTCACAAATCATTCATTGCTCAATGAAATTCCTTTAAATGTATTTATTTATTTTGAGACAAAGTCTTGCTCTGTTGCCCAGGCTGGAGTGCAGTGGTGTGATCTCGGCTCACTGCAACCTACGCCTCCCAGGCTCCAGTGATTCTCCTACCTCAGCCTCCTGAGTAGCTGGAACTACAGGTGCATGCCACCGCGCCCAACTAATTTTTGTATTTTTTGTAGAGATGGGGTTTCACCCCAGGCTGGACTTGAATCCCTGAGCTCAGCAATCCTCCTGTCTCGGCCTCCCGAAGTGCTGAGATTACAGGCATGAGCCACTGCGCCCAGACCAACTCCTTCAAATTTAATTTGGCTTAAGTTTTTCCTTTATCAACCATAAACAAACCCATATACCTTGCCCTCGAGAAGCCATGTTCTTGTTAAATATATACGATAGGTAGGATAGGTACCCCAAAAGCATACCAAGCTTAACTCTCTCCCAAATTCTCATGACCCCCACTCACCAACCTGTTTCAGCAGGTATCAGAATGATTCTAATGCCTGTCTCTTCTCATAACTCCTGGTTAGAAAGGCTTCAGTGCTTCTCCCGGTGTTCATGGTGGGTAAAATCTATGTTTCATTATGTAGCACACAGGTCACCTTTTCAGTGAGTGTCCTTTCTACAGGCATCTTTTCCAAATCAAGACCTGGCTGCCCCTGATCGTCCAGGTCGTCCTGGTCTCTCTCTGCTCCACTGGACTCTTGCCAGTGCAAGAGTCATTAACAGAGTTAATGACTGGGGATGGATAAAGGAGAAAGGGATAAAAAAAGAGATACTAGGTTGGTGAAAAGCAATTGTGTTTTTTGCCATTTGAAAGTAATGGCAAAAACGCAATTACTTTTGCACCAACCTAGTAACATTCATGGTGAGATGATTACTATCTCAGTGTGATGATCATCTAAGAATTAACTGTATAGATTTATCATTTGTTTTCATATAAAGTTCTACAGCTTGAGAGTTCCTGTGATTCACCAAGGATTGTCACATACTTGATTATAGGCTTCAGAAAATTTTTATAAAATAATATGATCTTTTCATGCCTATCTGCACTGAGATACTCAAGTTTCCCAGGATGATGGGAAACTTGTTATTTCCTTGAGTTAAAAAACATATATATATCATAAGCCCATGAAATGTGAATGGTGATGTTGTTTTCCTTTATTTATTATTCCCTTTATTTTGGCATCTTTCTCAGACACTTATTTTGTGTTAGTGGTGATGGTACTCATAAGTGCACTAGCGTGTCACACATTACCTGTCGTGTATGAAATCTCATGCAGGGGACCCTCTATATACGCTTGAGTATACAACCAATACATTAAAAGGATAAATACCCATCTAGGCTGCTAGGTTCAGTTAATGAAGCTGATATTATCAGTTTTATGTCTAATGAGCCAGCTGCCTGAACAGGGTCCCATACCAGCTTTTTACCTTGTTCCTCTGAACGCTAGTAATCCAGCACAACGGTAATACATTTTCACAGGGAAAAAAACGGAGAGGAGTTTCCATGAGCAAATAAATTTGAGAAAGATGGAGTTATAGATATATAAAAAGCCATCTTCACTGCAGGACTTCTCAGGGCCTTTATGTTCATGTGTATTGTGATTCTCCTTCCATAAGGAGACTATAACATGCATAACATGTAGTGTTTCTCCTCCTCCCACTCCCACCACCCCTTGTTTTGTTTTGTTTTTTTCTTTTGCCAGCGTGATGGTTAATTTTATGTATCAATTTGAAGAGTGTTTTTGGATGAGATTGACATTTAAGTTAGCGAACTTTGCGTAAAGCAGCTTGCTCCCCATAATGCGTTGGTTCTCACCCAAGCAGCCTGAACAGAACAAAAACACTGGCCTCCCAAAGCAAGATGGAATTCTCCAATAAACGGCCTCAGAACCTCACCCGCACCATTGGCTCTGCTGGGCCTTGAACCTGCCAGTTCATATCACACAAATTTTGGACTTGCTAGCCTCCATAATCACATAAGCCAGTTCCTTATAATAAGTCTCTTTGTGAGAGACACACACACACACACACACACACACACAGATGCTCTTGAAGTGATGATGGGGTTATGTCCCACAAATTTAAAATAACATTAAGTCAAAACTGCATTTAATACTTCACAAACCAAAGTACAAAAATTGTTAAGTCAAACCATCAAAAGTCAGACATGGTCTGCATGCATACGTATCTTCTTTTTTCGTGAAATAACTATTAACATTTCATGAGACACTAGAGTTCCAAGAAGAATAATCCATTAGGGAAATGCTACCATAGACCACAGCCTTATAGAAGCTCTGGTGTCTCACAGACAGAGAATATTGGTAGGAAGGGAATCTAAAAAAAAAAAAAAACCCTGAAGAAACGTAAAGCAATTATTTATCACTACTGGTTGTCAAGTTTTATGTCATATTACTGGGTTCATTCACAGGATAATTTTTATATTACTATATAATTGTTAATTCCTTCACACACACTTCAAAAAAAAGTAATTGCAACACAAGTATAAACACAATCCCCAGAATCCTTCTTTTTCTTTCATTTGGCCCACCTATATTCCATTATATACATGTCACAGTTTTTCTTTGAGCATTACTGTACAGGTGTGGCAAGGGCACTGTCTATGATACAATCAAATGCTGACAGATGTTCCATTTCAGTGCCAGACATCTGGTTTATCTCCTACAGTAAGTACTGACTGCACTCCCACCTCTCCCTGTGCTGAAAGACAACTCGCGAAGGTATTTTAACTTGTTTTCCTTACCCACTAGCAACAAATAATCTAGTCATTGGGTTAAAATATACCAGGCCAGGCATGGTGGCTCACACCTGTAATCCCAGCACTTTGCGGGGCTGAGGCAGGCAGATCATGAGGTCAGGAGTTCAAGACCAGCCTGACCAATATGGTGAAACCCCATCTCTACTAAAAATATGTAAATTAGCTGGGCGTGGTGGTGTGCTCCTGTAGTCCCAGCTACTCGGGAGACTGAGGCAGGAGAATCACTTGAACCCAGGAGGCGGAGGTTGCAGTGAGCCAAGATCACATCACTGCACTCCAGCCTGGAGACTCTATCTCAAAAAGAAAAAGCACATACATATACATACACACACACACACACACACACACACACACACACCAGTTGGACAATACTAAGCCAAATATAAATCCTTCGCTAAAATGTATGATAAAAAACATAGAAGACTCTAGGTATTTCAGCAACTCAATTATCATCAACTTGATTTCAATCTTAAACAAAAATAATTTTCTGCTAAAGTTGAAGGGAAACATTCTTTCTCTATTGGGATGAATTATTTCAGGCACTGACATCCTAAGAATAAAATAACTACATGATTACAAAATATTCATAATGCCCAGGAAGTCCTTCCACTGGGGAGGAAAGGTGGGTGGAATTAAACATTGATTTATCAACTATTTTTAAGTAAAAATTATTGGTTCTAGAAAAGCTCACTCTGCTACAGCAAATCCTTGTGGAGATTTCTTTTCTAACAATATAATATAGTAGTATACGCTCACATAGAGCATATAGTTTCCTTCATTTACATATACTAAAAAATGACTTGCTATAACACAATTTTTTTTTTGAGACAGAGTTTCACTCTTGTTGCCCAGGCTGGAGTACAATGGCATGATCTTGGCTCACTGCAACCTCCACCTCCTGGGTTCAAGCAATTCTCCTGCCGCAGCCTCCCAAGTAGCTTGGATTACAGGTGGCCATCGCCACACACAGCTAACTTTTTGTATTTTTAGTAGAGATGAAGTTTCACCATGTTGGCCAGGCTGGTTTTGAACTCCTGAGCTCAAGCAAGCTGCCCACCTTGGCTTCCAAAAGTGCTGGGATTACAGGCATCACAATTTTAAATATATTAAAGAAAAGATGCTCGTATTAATCCATTCCTGCATCTATATAAAGAAATACCTGAGACTGGGTAATTTATAATAAAAAGAGGTTTAGGTGGCCACAATTCTGCAGGCTGTACAGGAAGGTTGATGCTGGCATCTGCTCAGCTTCTCGGGAGGCCTCAGCAAACTTACAATCATGGCGGAAGGTGAAGTGGGAGCAGACACAAAACATGGCCAGAGCAGGAGCAACAGAGAGGGTTAGGAGGTGCCACACAATTTTAAATGAGCCGATGTCACAAGAACTCACTCACTATCAAGAGGGCAGTGCAAGCGGATGGTACTAAACCATTCATGAGAAATCTGCCCCCATGATCCCATCACCTCCTACCGAGCCCTACCACCAACATTGGGGGTTATGATTCAACATAAGGTTTGGGTTGGAACACAGATACAAACCATATCACTGTTGAAATTTTACAAAGTATTACTTTGAATGATGGTAGCGTTTTTGGCCAGACTAGAGTAATAAAGCATTAGGCTACGTTAGCCTTCATGTCATACGCCCCTGCAGAAAGGTTGGCAGCTCTAATGGATTAAACAGGCCTATGGATAGATAGATAAGGTTGGAACCCTTCACAGATGGGCTTTGCAGTCTAGGAGGAAGGGGTTGAGATGCAATCCTCCACCAGGGATTATATGAGATCTACCCTAAAGCTGGCATCCTTTACATGAGTGTAAGAAAAAGGCAAAAGAGAAAATGTGGCATTCAGAAGCATTATCCACACAAAGCTGATCAGAAGGAAGGGTGTTTTTCCAATTAGATAGAAAGCTTGGTCATACTTTCTCTAGGTCATTAGGCATCATATGATGCTATTCAAACAATGGCTTTGCTGCTCCCATTCCAGCCAGAGTGATTATTCAGCATTTCTAAAAGAGCACTACACTATTATTGAGATATACAATCCTTTTCTTTTCTTATTATGTCTAGATTTTATTAAGATGGCTATAAGATATTAAAACAGTTGCTATATATCACCATATGTAAATTTTACAATGAAGAAAATGGTCCTTGAAGAGAAGTTTAAAATATTTTTCAAGTATTTTTGAGTCTCCAGCAATGAAAGTAACTACATAATGAAAAGTGTATTCTTTCAATTCAGGATATTTTATAGGAAAGTAACGGGTCTGGGAAAATCCTTAAGGCAAATAACTTTGCTGTGATAAAAATTACAAGACTCAGAAAGAACTACATAATGGCATTTCTCATCTAATAGCTTCTAGCTAGAAAATCAGGCAGGCATTTCCCAAAGGTTGATAAGAGGTTACTCACCTGTCGATTTCTCTTAGCATCCAGTTGAAATAATGCAAGAAAAACTAGACTAGAGAGTATCTTTCCCTAAAACCTCTTTGCCTTAGAGCAACTCTAGGGCTTACCATTACCCACGAGGCCATCACTGAGAAGAGACAACCCCATCCTCATCCCTGGGGACCCACTCATGGCTACCAGCAGGTAGGGGTGATAGGGAACACACAGACAGGATGAACCTTCCAGTAATGTCTGCCATCGAAAATGAGGCCATTTTGCAGTGCCTGAAAAATAAAAGTGATAATGCAGAGAAGGATGGAGAGATAAATGATTTTTACAGAATAGTTTATAACAGCTATTATGAGCTACTTGTCATCTGTCACTGGGAAAAGAATCTTTTATAAGGGATCTATGCAGAAAGAACATCACCTCAGAGAACTTAGGATCATGACTTAATTCAAACCTAGAAGTGACCATTGGTCTAAGGATATGTTTCTATGCATTATTCTACTGACTTCAGTCCTTTGTGTGTGCAGGAGCTGTCTGTCATCTTTGTTTTTGTTCTGCATCTGGAGAGGCAGATACTTAGGGGAGAAAAGATGCTCAAAACCGCCAAGTTCAATCCACTCCCACTGAGATTGAAACCCACATTCACTGACTACTGAGCCTATTCAAACATTTACAAGGGCTTTTCCACATTCTTTAAAATTTTAAATTACTCTTTTGACTTTTTGATAATTTTTAAAACTCTAAAAATCATCTATGAGGCAGTATAACCATATTGTTTTTTGTTAGGTGACTATTTGCACTTGGAAACATGTGTCTGCCATGAGATAAAGATGGCAATCTAATTTGATCACTGAAAAAAGGAGAGATTGGATTTAGAAATTATATCCATACATAAGTTTTAAATGTGCCAAAAAATTATTATATCAAAATATACTTAAAACTTGAGGAATCCATAAAATGTAATATGGAAACCCTGATAGGCTATGTTGCCTACCGAGTTATTTTGTTGGCATACCCTGAAACACTAAATTTCTGCTTCCAGATGCCACGAGGTCATTGACTTAGAACCATTCTCTGTGCTACCTGTTTTCTTGAAAGCTGGTAGTTCTTAAGGGTGAGGCTGTTCAGCATTCTCATACTGTGCCCCAGGAACCACAGCTGAGAAGGCAGTGAGGCTTGGCCTCACCCACCTGGGACCTAAGTCCAGGTCACCAAGCTAGAGCTGATCCTACCTTTGACTTCTTGTGCCTACATCTAAATTCAACCTTCAACCCACCCTTCATAAAGCACCAGTGTTGGTTTTAAAATATATACTGGCTGCATTCTGAGCATTGGATATATGCATGAATAGACACATTGCTAAAACAGCATAATCTGACAGTATATACATTCCCTCCTCTGCCCATCAGAGAAAAGAAAGGCCCCTTTGCACCATTAAATTAGTTCAAAGGAAGAATGCACAAAAAAAGAAATGATTGTTGTCAAAGAAAGAACCCTTCACTGTGTAGGAACAATTTTTCCCTCCAGATTTCAATTACGGGACACATAAGAAATACCTTGTTACTGCTTTTAACACCCGAGTTGAAACCCTATAATAAACTCCTTTTGATGTTTCAGTCACCATTAAGCAACTTACTCATTTTATGCATGCTACATGTGAAAACTACAATATAAAGGTAAATGAGATGGAACTCCTTCTCTCAAGGAAAAGGAGAGAAGGAGCTTTTTCCTACTCTAGAAAAGAAATCAGCTTTGTGCCTGTCTGAGTATATTCCAAAATAGGAAAATGGAATCAAGTGATGTGTAGTGACCATAGACAGTGTGCTGAGGGAGGTAAAAGCAAAGGAGATTTTTCCAGAAATCAGAGGCAACCGAGGCTTGACCGAATAGACCCTGAAGTCGGGCAGGAATTCAGGAACAAACCAAGGCTGAGCAGAGAAGGACAGTGAGGAAGCAGGAATGAGACCCAACTTCAGAAAGCAAAGCTTTGTTCACCAGACAAACCCGGGGAAGTAACTTTATTCTCTACATGTTCATGAGAATAACGCTTTCTGTGGCTACCAGCTTTTGCAGCTTAATCATTCTCTGCAGGAGACCAGGGAAGTGAGATGAGCATCTCCACAACTTGAGTACCTTGCTCATTTGTATGGAATTGAGTTATATGGGGCCAGTCTACCGTCTTATCACCCCGAACATGCCCGATATAATCTGAATTAAATTGGGCAGGCCGCACGGAGGAACATCTGCCAGCGGGAAACTCTTGGGGCGGCAACTACATGGGGCGCAAGAAGTCATGAAGGCCTGGGCCAGGTGGTGGCAGTGGGACTGGAAGCAGCCAACGAAGATCTCTGACAATAAACTTGCCGTAATTTTACTCCGTGAAATCACAGAAAAGACAGCAATAACATCCTGACCACAACAGAGAATGCAGTCCCACCAAACGGGGCTTTTCTTCCCTTGATTGTTCAGCGAAGGAGCCAGATCCTGAGCACAGACCGTCTGAGGAAGGCCAGTTCCCCACTTTTTGGCTTCTTTCCCTTCACTCCTCCCAAGCAGGAAGCAGGCTCCAGAACAGCCTTGCTCTTCATGGCACAAATGCCGCCATCAGTCTCCACTGCTGACATCTATGGTGGGTTTGCCATAGCTTACCAAATACTGGGCAGGGGCAGGGGAGATGGAATTTATGAAGAAATAGAAGGCATGAGCCCTTTAATGTCCTTGGGAATACGCAACCCACAGACTGAAAACAAGTGAACCCTTTCAAAGGAAAAGATAGTATTCACAGCAATAAATGCTTAAGATATACCAGGCACTTGGCAAAACAGTGAACACACATCATCTCTTTTAATAGTCACGGTCATCCCTTTTGGTAGGCATTGCCACGTTTTGTCTAAATTCTAAAGATGTTCATTTTTTTTAACATGTTAGCATGCCTGGAAGTTGAGTGTGTTTTGCAATCAGTATGTGTTTTAAAATAAACAGGCAGGAACTATACAGTGAGATGTTCTATTTATGTATGTATTTATTTGGTCTGGTTTGGATTTTTTCTCTGAAAAGCTATTATTAAATAATGATCATCTTAAAGTCAGTGGTGTCTTAGGATGAAGAAAATGTAAGATATTATCCCCATCTTAAAATGAGACTGAGGCCAAGGGAGTTAAGAAGTCTTCCCACTAGTAGATCAAGAAAATCCAGCCATCTGTCTCAAAGCCCCCACCCTGAGAGGCACTCTTAAATGGCATGAGAAATAATGTATCCCCCTGCAAAAAAAGAAAAACAAACAAAAACAAAAACTGCATGCCAGGACACTCAGTCACCGCACTAACCCCACCCTGCCACCAGCCACAGCATGTCGGTATCCATTTACTCATTTGCAAGCCTCAATTCAGCACCTACCTGGCAGGCATTGTTCTGGTGGCCACACACTTTTGGTGATAAGAAAAAGCTGTCCATTCCTGCCTAGACCTCATAGACCAATGAGAGAGACAGACGTTCAACTCTGATGACACATATAACCATAGAATTACAAACTCTAAAGCATCACAAGCAAAACCACCAGATGCTGTGATAATATGATAATATAAACCAGAGTCCAGACCTCATCTGGGGCATCAGGGCAGCCTCGCCTGCAGATGGGGTTTTGGAGTTCCTCTAAAGGATTCCAATAAGACTGGACAAAGGAGGGTACTGGAGTGAAATGTGCTGAGTCAGGAGCGATTTCCCGGAGGAAGGAGACCATTCTAGGCACACGCAAAAGCCCCGAGGCTGGAGGAACATGCTGTGTTTGAGAGCCAGAAAGAACGTCAAGGAGGCTCGAGGGGAGAGTTCTCAGGAGAGGAAACCAGACAGGCTTGTGGCTCATGGCGAGGTTGTAGCTATTTATCCTCAGAACAGTGAGAGGCAGCTACTTTTTTACTTTAAATGTTGAATGGATGGAAATCCTACCATTGAGTGTGCAAATAATTCTTGCCTTATATAGATACAAGTTTAAAAGCAATGCAGCATCCCAAGGTAGAATGTTCTTTCAAAATAGTTGAGGCTTATGTCAACAAATTCCCTGGAATGTGGGTGATAACAAATATCTGTAAATCTTAACAGGCCAGGACTGAGCCATATGATACTCATCAGTTGCCCCTTAACCAGAATCAATTTCACATGGGGAGAGGTGTTCCCATTTGGAAGGGATTTTTGTCAGTAATGGTGAACATCAGGGCTGGATTATGACAGTTGGAAGGGGCCAGCCACTTAGGGTGAATCTGTGGCTTTGCTGAGTATTGTGCCTAGCTTCCTATAAAACAGCGAACTACCAAATAACGGGTTGTCCTTCCTCTCTGAAGGCCTGCAGTACAAGTGCCAGCTGCGGCGTAGGAGGAGGTGAGCAGTAACAAGACAGGCCTTCAACCTTATGACTGGAAGTGACTGAAATCATCGGAGGGAGCGGGGTGGCTCTGAGATTCCCACAGGAGCAAACATTAGGGAAATCGCCCACCAAGCCTGTTCTCCTGCCAGAATCCACTCCCTTCCTGAGGTCTGAACCACTGCTAGAGGAAATCCAAAAGAAAACAAGCCCAGAGGCCCAGGAAAAACAAATTTGCTTAGAGGTGGGGTGAGTTTAGCAGACTTGATACCCAATTAAAGAAACTTGAATTGATTCATCCTTTTGGGAAACCAGTTTGACAATGTGTATGTGCCTTAAAAATGCCCATACATTTTCATGAGAGATACCAGGCAATGTTGGCAAAAAAAAAAAAAAAGCCCATACATTTTTAACCTGTCTGGCTCGCATATCTTCCTAGAAATATATCTTAAGGATATACTTCTTAAGAAATAGATATAGACAGATATAAGTTAATATAAATATGGGCCGGGTGTGGTGGCTTATGCCTGTAATCCCAGCACTTTGGGAGGCCGAGGCAGGCAGATCACCTGAGGTAGGGAGTTCGAGACCAGCCTGACCAACATGGAGAAACCCCATCTCTACTAAAAAATACAAAATTAGCCAGGCATGGTGGCACATACCTGTAATCCCAGCTATTTGGGAGGCTGAGGTAGGAGAATCGCTTGAACCTGGAAGGCAGAGGTTACAGTGAGCCAAGATGGTGCCATTGTACTCCAGCCTGAGCAACAAAAGTGAAATTCCATCTCAAAATATATATGTAAATATAATATTAAATATATCTATATAGAAATAGAGAGAAATATAGCTTAAGAATATATTTCTTCTCAGCAAACTGACACAAGAACAGAAAATCAAACACCACATGTTCTCACTCATAGGAGGGTGTTGAACAATGAGAACATATGGACACAGGGAAGGGAGCATCACACACTGAGGTCTGTCAGGGGGGAAATAGGGGAGGGAAAGTGGGGGTTGGGGAGAGATAGCATGGGGGGAAATGCCAGATATAGGTGATGGGGAGGAAGACAGCAAATCACACTACCATGTGTGTGTACCTATGCAACAATCTTGCATGTTCTTCACATGTACCCCAAAACCTAAAATGCAACTTAAAAAAAAAAAGAATATATTTCTAGGCGGAGCGAGGTTGCTCACGCCTGTAATCCCAGCACTTTGGGAGGCCAAGATGGGTGGATCACGAGGTCAAGAGATGGAGACCATCCTGGCCAACATGGTGAAACCCCATCTCTACTAAAAATACAAAAATTAGCTGGGCGTGGTGGTGCGTGCCTGTAGTCCCAGCTACTCGGGAGGCTGAGGCAGGAGAATTGCTTGAACCCAGGAGGCGGAGGTTGCGGTGAGCTGAGATCGTGCCATTGCATTCCAGTCTGGGTAACAAGAGCGAAACTCTGGTCCTAGCTACTCAGGAGCTGAGGTGGAAGAATCGCTTGAAACCAGGAGGCAGAGGTTGCAGTGAGCTGAGATTGTGCCACTGCACTCCAGCCTGGTGACAGAGCAAGACTCCATCTCAATATATATATATATATATATTTCTAGCATTTCTTCCTAAAATTTCCCTTTTAACAAAAAACAGCCCCAAAATCATTTCTTTTCTAACAAAGAGTAACCTAAAAAATCAAGCTGTTAACATAGATAAGCAAGCCAGAAGCTTGCACGGGTGAATGCTGGCTGCTGTGCCAGTAGATAAGGGCTACCCGGGGTGCAGGTATATTCAACATGGAGGCTCCAGCTTCCTTTTTCTTTGTCACCATGTGTACAGTAAATAAAGGCAGCCACGAACGGTGGCAAACGCCTGTAATCCCAGAACTTTGGGAGGCTGAGGCAAGTGGATCACCTGAGGTCAGGAGTTCAAGACCAGCCTGGCCAACAAGGCAAAACCCCATCTCTACTACAAATACAAAATTTAGTCAGGTATTTCTGTAATCCCAGCTACTCAGGAGGCTGAGGCAGGAGAATCACTTGAACCTGGAGATGGGGGTTGCAGTGAGCCATTGCACTCCAGCCTGGGCAACAGAGTGAGACTCCATCTCAGAAAAAAACCATGGTTCTGGCCAGGTGGAGAATCTATCTGCATAATAAAAGATTAGGGTGAGGGTGGCCAGGTTTTCATACCCTATGTAAATGACATACCTAGCTCTAACCAGTTTTTCACACCCTGTGCAAATGGTACACCTGGTCCAACCAATCTTTTGTGCCCTATATAAATCAGACACTGCCTCCTCAAGCTCATCTATAAAACCCTCTGCATTTCACTGCAGAAGCAGCAACGCATTTCCCTGGGACGCCTCTCTGCCGCAAAGAGCTCTTCTCTTTCACCTTCTTCAGAGCAGACTTCTGCTCTGAACCTCACTCTTTGCGTCGGCATCCTAGTTTTCTATGGCCGTGAGACAACAAATTTCAGGTATTTACCCCAGACAACAACGCCGCTTCGCAGGCATCCTCCAATCTGCCCCTCACCTTTGCACCAATAGCTTCCACTGATTGCAGCTACATCCATCTAGGGCATTTTTCCTGCTGTGCCTCCTCCAGAAGTAGTAAACATTCATTTGCATAATATGCTGAACACAACCACCTTATCAACTTGTTTACTTCTCACAACGTTATGACTTAGTACCATTGTTATTCTCGTTTTTCACTTGGGGGAATAAGGCGTAGAGAGGTCAGGTAACTTACTCAAGGTCACACAGCTGGTAAGAGGCGGAGCTGGACTCAAACCCAGACAGTGTGACTCTAAAGTCCACACCATGATATCCTCTGCTGCTTCCTATCCTTATCTCATTTCCCTCTTTATGGCCTCGCCTCTCCCCCGCCTCAATGGAGAGAAGCAAGGGTGTCCTGGGTCCGGACTCTGACTCCATCTCAAAAAAAAAAAAAAAAAAAAAAAAAAGGGCCGATCACAGTGACTCACGCCTGTAATGTAGTCCCAGCTACTCAGGAAGCTGAGACAGGAGAATGCTTCAATCTGGGAGGCAGAGGTTGCAGTGAGCTGAGATCACATCAGCCTGGGCGACAGAGAGAGACTCTGTCTCAATACATATATATTTGCTTATTCTTTCCAGCCAGAGTCCTTGTCTCCTTTTAATTATTGAAACATTCACAGATGTGAAATGCCACCAGATTTGATACTTGACTATTGCTAATTTCAACTTTATTTGGCTCAGGAAAAAAAAAAAAAAGCCACTATACAACAGACATCATAAGCTCATTACATGGCAAGATCGTTTCAGTTGCTATAATCTCATACAATCTGCAGTTGCTCTAAAGCTTTTTACTCCATAAAGGCAGCTTTTCTTTTTTAATTTTTGCACTGCTTAGCAGTGAATGATAGTTATACTATCATGGTGGTAAATACTGCTTCCTAGAAAGTGTGTCAGAGTTTCTTGGGTACAATGATTCATGGCTCACCCAGGGGGCAATAAAGATGAGGTGAGCCACACACTAAGCCCTTCCCGGGCTCATGGTACATGCCTAACTACATTATACTCTGTGATCCACCGCACTATACAAGAATTTTTTTTTTTTTTTTAGGTGTTGTTTCATTCTTGTCACCCAGGCTGAGTACAATGGCATGATCTCGGCTCACTGCAACCTCCGCTTCCTGGGTTCAAGCAATTCTGCCTCAGCCACCTGAGTAGCTGGGATTACAGACGCCCACCACCACACCCAGCTAATTTTTGTATATTTAGTAGAGACATGGTTTCACCATGTTGGCAAGGCTGATCTCAAACACCTGACCTCAGGTGATCCACCTGCCTTGGCCTCCCAAAGTGCTGGGATTGCAGGCATGAGCCACTGTGCCCGCCATACAAGGATATTCTTTTGGCAGTCATGAGTACAAGATCAATTCTGTTGTGTAGGGCTGAATGTTGTGAAATGTGCATAAGAAAAGGATTGCAATTACCTGTATTTATCATGTCAGTCATTCTAATCATCAGACAATGATATGAACACAGTGAAAAAGACATCCCTCATACTCTCTTCTTCCTGAAATAGAGAAACTATAAGAATTCCATCAGCTCATCTGCCACTCCACGTGGAAATGGCCCATTTCTGACGACATCGTGGGAGTTTTGCTTTTTGGTTTTTGTGTTTATTTTGGTTTGGGTTTTTGCTTCAAGGTAGATCAACAGGTAAAATCTGGCCTCCCCATCCTTGTTGAATATCACTCTGGGCATCCCCTTCTTGTAAGACTCTCTCTCCCTACCCCTGTTCTCTCAGCTAGGCAGTGCTCTGTCTTCCTACACCCAACCCCCTCCTCACTTCCTATCCATCCCCCTACCCAGAAATTCTGGCTGCCCCAGAGTCTCCTAACATTTCCCAGAAAATTAAGTCACCTGTGTTCTATGGCCTGAATGTTTATGTCCCCCCAGAATTCATATGTTGAAACCTAATCCCCAAGTCAATGGCATTAGAAGGTGAGGTCTTTGGGAGATGATGCTGTCATGAGGGCTCCATCTCAGGAATGAGATTGGGGCCCTTATGAAAAAAAGTCTTGGCCGGGCATGGTGACTCACACCTGTAATTCCAGCACGTTGGGAGGCCAAGGCAGGCAGATCACCTGAGGTCAGGAGTTCAAGACCAGCCTGACCAACAGGTAAAACCCCATCTCTACAAAAAATACAAAATTAGCCGGGTGAGGTGGTGCATGCCTGTAATCCCAGCTGCTTGGGAGGCTGATGCAGGAGAACCACTTGAACCCGGGAGGCAGAGGTGGCAGCAAGCTGAGATCAAGCCATTGCACTCCAGCCTGGGCCACAAAAGTGAAATTCTATCTTTAAAAAAAAGGCCCGAGGGAAGTAGTTCACCTCTCCTGCCATGTGGACGCCACAAGAAGGCACCATCTTTGAGGAAGAGAACAAACCCTCACCAAACACCAAATCTATGGGCACTTTGATCTTGAACTTCCTAGCCTCCAGAATGATGGGAAATAAATTTCTCTTGTGTCAAAGCACTCAGTCTATGTATCTTGTTAGAGCAGCCCACAGGGACTGAGATAATGAGCTAGTGGGAGAAAGGCACACGACACCCACATCCTCTCTCTTCCCATCCAAGTCACCCTAGCAGGGTGCCCATTCAAACAGAGTTTTTTTCAAAGACAAAGCCCTCAATCATTTTGCTAAAATAAAAGGGATGGCCCTTTCATGAATTTTAGGTCCTATTATACAGGACTACTCAAAGTAAGCTGGGCACAATGGAAAGGGTGATATTTATGAGTAGGAATTTTTATTGCAGTCTCCACTAACATCATCCATTAAAGGCGCCTCCCTATTTGCTTCAGAGGCCCAGGACTTTCTTGCTTCCTCCTTTCACAGCGATCATTCTCAGGAGTTGGGATTCCACAGCAATCTACATAAAGTGGAATTTCAATTCAGAATGATCAGTTCATTTTGCCAAGTAAGAGCACCTAAAAAAAAAAACAACTACAAGTTCTTATCACCATTATTTCATTTATTTATTTACTTATTTTTGAGACAGAGTTTCACTCTGTTGCCCAGGCTGGAGTGCAGTGGCACGATCTCAGCTTACTGTAACCTCCACCTGCCAGGTTCAAGTGATTCTCCTGCCTCGGCCTCCTGAGTAGCTGGGATTACAGGTACACACCACCATGCCCAGCTAATTTTTGTATTTCTGGTAGAGACCATCACCATATTGGTCAGGCTGGTCTCGAACTCCTGACCTCATGATCTGCCTGCCTTGGCCTCCCAATGCTGGGATTACAGGTGTGAGCCACCGTGCCCAACCAATTTTATGTTCTTATTTTCCTCACATCAAAGACTGGTAAGTCCTTGGTCCTAAGCCGGCACTGGACCATAGACCAAAATTTGGGAACCATTGCTCTGGATATCAGGACGGTCAGCTGAAGCTGGGATCAGACACCGACATTTTGCAGGTAATAGTCAACATAAAATTCACCTTGGGTGCATTTCCTCATTCTGTCATTCCGAACAGTTAGGAAGAGTTCAGACAGTAGAGACAAATACCCCTGCATCCAAGGTTCAGCTCCCCCACCTGACAAGGGGTGACCCAAGTAGCTGAACCTCTCTAAGCTGCCATTGCCATGTCTGCAAAATGAAGAGAAAGCAAAAATTCACCAAGTTGTTAGGATTAAATGCGGATTAGCAAAGGGTCTTTGCTTCAACAAATTTATAACTATTAATATAACTGTTACTAGACCAGAGTGTCTATGCATATGCCAGACATTTTCTAAGACCCCTGACTACAGGGTCTAGAGTCTCCGTTTTGCCTTCAAGGAGATAATGCTCTGAAAGGGACCCACAAAAGGGTGGCCAGATACAGGGAAGCCAGAGTTAGGGTAGACGCAGATACTGGAGGCCAAGGAGATTATAGAGCAGTGGTCCCCAACCTTTTTGGCATCAGGGTCCGATTTCATGGAAGACAATTTTCCATGGATGGAGTAGGGGAGGTGGGTTTTGGAATAAGACTGTTCCACCTGGGATCAGCAGGCGTTAGTTAGATTCTCATAAGAAGCGTGCAGCCTGCATCTCTTGCATGCACGGTTCACAAAAGGGTTTGCATTCCGATGAGAGTCTAATGCCACTGCTGATCTGACATGAGGCGCAGCTCAGACGGTAATGCTCACTAGCCTGCCACTCACCTCCTGCTGTGCAGGCCAGTTCTTAACCGGCCACAGACCAGTGCAGACCCACAGCCCTGGGGACTGGGGGCCCTGTTACAGAGGATTGAGAGTGAGGAAAAGAAAATAGAAAAAGAGAGGCCTCTCAGAGGAGGTGGAATCTAAGGAAAATCTTACAGGACACAACACTAAAAAAAAGCAAAATTTTCAATGAGGCTTTCAGTTGAGAATCAGACCAAGTCATCCTGCCATGCCTAAAATGTGCAGATTGAAGTCTGGCACACTAAACTTCCTTCTGTTATCCTGGGTCACCACATTAACTGCTTGAAGAAATGGCTTTCCTCAAAGCAGTAATTTTCCTTTGCCTCCCTGGCTCTATTCTACATGAGTTGCCCTAAGGAAATTCTTCTCTGTCGCTTCTGACCTGAAGAAGATGACGCCTGGTGAGGTGGCTCATTCCTATAATCCCAGCACCTTGAGAGGCTGAAGCAGACAGATCACTTGAGGTCAGGAGTTTGAGACCAGCCTGCCCAACATGGTGAAACCCCGTCTCTACTAAAAATACAAAAGTTAGCCAGACGTGGTGGCACACACCCATAGTCCCAGCTACTTAGGAGGCTGAGGCAGGAGAATTGCTTGAACCTGGGAAGCAGAGGTTGCAGGGGGCCAAGATGGCTCCACTGCACTCCAGCCTGTGTGATGGAGAGAGACTCTGTCTCAAAAAAAAAAAAAAAAAGATGAGCTTTCAGTGAAAAAGGAGAGAGAAGTTGCAACTGATAGTTTTCAAGAAATTCTGGGCATAGAGTATTTGAATGACTGAATCCCGAGTGCTACCTCGATCCTGCCACTCACAGTGTGGTCCCCTGAGCTGTAATACTGACATCACCTGGGAATTTGCTAGAAATGCAGAATTTGGGCCCTCTGAATTTTTAACAAGATTCTCAGAGGACTGGGAAATCCATTAGGGTTTGGGAGGCACTGCCTCAGCCAATTCTTGGTGAAAAAAGTCAACAACTGGACTGGATATGATCATCGTCAGAGCCCTTGTCTTTACCTCATTTGATCCCATTCATTGCTCCTCTAGATGTCTTAAAGGATAAATAGTGAGGGAACAGAGAGAACAGCTCTGCCCTAGAGGCATCTGACTAAAATTACCCTATATTATGTTACAAAAGAACAATGGAGTTAGAAATATTTACTTGCTCTAGGCCCATGATCCTTAGTTATATGACCACAGTGGCTGAATCAAAGTCTGAATTTTAACAAGATTCTCAGAGGACTGGGAAATCCATTAGGGTTTGGGAGGCACTGCCTCAGCCCAATTCTTGGTGAAAAAAGTCAACAACTGGACTGGATATGATCATCGTCAGAGCCTTTGTCTTTACCTTCATTTGATCCCATTCATTGCTCCTCTAGATGTCTTAAAGGATAATAGTGAGGGAACAGAGAGAACAGCTCTGCCCTAGAGGCATCTGACTTAAAATTACCCTATATTATGTTACAAAAGAACAATGGAGTTTAGAAATATTTACTTGGCTCTAGGCCCATGATCCTTAGTTATATTTCCAAACAACCTGTAATTTCTGGAGCTTTTTGTTTGTTTTATTCTTCTTGTTCTTGGTATTATTATTACTTTTTACAGAGGAGAAAACTGGAACTCAGAGACATTAGGGGACTCGCTGGGTTCACACAGTCAGTCCAGGGCTCCTTCTTCAAGCCGAGCAGCCCACCATTCACCACAGCAGAGAAGATGGTCCCACCTGCACGACTCAGATGGCCCGTGGCCCAGCATCAACCAACTGCAGAACCTGTGGCTCCTATTTCCAGACCCTTCTTTTCCATTCCGGTTACCAGCACCCTTGTTCAGTCCACAGTTCCTAAACTGCCAGACAGGCCTACTCCTTGCTGCTTCCAATTCTTTGCCCTTTAAATCCATTTCACACACAGCCGCCCAAAGCCCAGCTTCATATCCCCTCAGGAAGTAGTTCAGAGAAGCAATCCACAGGGTGCCATCCCACAGACAAGGACTATGGGACTCATCCTTGTATTCCTCATAAGGCTACTGGATGCCTTACAGAGTAGATAGGCTGAATACAAGGGGGTCCTAATGAACAGATGAGAAAAGCTACTACTGTCTCTGGGCAAGAGACAGAGGCAGCCAAAGAGGCGGGACTGCATAAGTGGACTAGAAGCATCCTGGTGGAACAGAGGGCTCGAGCAGACTCGCTGGCCTAAGATAGGAGGAACCAGAGCAGGGCTCCCACTTTTTCCCGTAGCTGGGAAGCTCCAAGGGTGAAAAGAATGAATGCTGAATGGCAGCATTCTGGTTCAGCACAGAGAGAAGGGAGGCATTTGTAGAATCATGTAGGCATTGTGCAAGGGACTCCACATGTGGCACCTCTGATTTCCCAGGAACGGGACATTCTGAGGTCAAGATTAGGATTCACTTTTCACACGTTCAGACTGAGCTTAGGTTAAGGATAATTGCCAAGGTCTTGTAGCCAGTCGGTTTCCACCCAGGTGTGTCTGATCCAGACATTCTCTTCCACTCTGCAGTGGCCCTAGACACCACAAGGTGAACCACCTCATCCTCTATTTGTTTCTATAGACGACTTACACATGTTTATGATATTCTCCTGAATGTGGCGTTGTGTGCAAACACTTAAGACATGGACATCAGAGGAAGACCACACCCCAAACCTCTAATTCCTTCCCACCACCTTCAGGGTAACACGGTATAGTGAGTGGGATGGTGATCCACTATGGTTCACCCCAATAGTGATCCATAAATATGTGTCCCCAAAATATGGTGACCTCAAAACATATATTCAAATCCTAAGCATCAAAACTTGTGAATGTGATCTTATTTGGAAAATGGTGTTTGCACACATAATTAATGATCTCAAAATGAGATCATCCTGGATTTAGAGTGGGTCCTAAATCTAATCACAGTGTCCTCATCAGAGAAACCCAGAGACAGATTTAACACACAGAGATACAGGGGAGAAACCAAATATAGACAGAGCAGAGATGGGATTTACACTGCCACAAGCCAGGGAATGCCTACAACCACCGGACGCTGGAAGAAGCAAAGGAAGATTCTCTCCTGGAGCCTTCAGAAGGGGCACAGCCCTGCTGCTTCCTTCATTCCAGACTTCAAGTCTTCAGATGACAAGAGACTGAAATATTGTTGTTTTAAGCCACCCAGGTTTTTGGTAACTTGTTGTGGATGCCCTAGGAAATGAATTTACACTGAAATTAAGAATCTCAACAGGCGTGGTGGCTCACACCTATAATCCCAGCATTTTGGGAGGCAGAGGTGGGTGAATCATTTGAGCTTAGGAGTTCGAAACCAGCCTATGCAGCATGGAGAAACCTCGTCTCTACCAAAAATACAAGCATTAGCCAGGAGTGGTGGCATGCACCTGTGGTCCCAACTATTTGGAAGGCTAAGGTGGGAGAGTCACTTAAGCCCAGTAGATGGAGGTTTCAGTGAGCCAAGATTGCACCACTGCACTTCAGCCTGGGTGACAGAGGGAGACTCTGTCTCAAAAAAAAAAAAAAAAAGAATCTTTTGTTTTAAAACTATCATCTAGAAAACTGTATTGGCACCAAGGGCCTATAAACCTATGCTCTCAATCCATTTGGCTTTGGATTGGGGAACCCAGATTTGAAAAACTATGTTTAGGGTATTGAGACATTTTAAGAACACACAGTCAGAAACTAGTATGTATAAAGTAGGGCAGTTCATTTGCTACCTTTTTTTCCTCAAAAAGAGAAAATTCCTTTTCATGCAAATATTTTGCAGTGAATAGATAACACTGTTTAGGAATGAGGATTATCTGTGCTGTTCCTATCGTAGCCTAATTAGCTTTTCTTTAATGTGCATTAAGCATCCAAGAAATGAAATGAGAAAGAACAAACACGAAGAGCTTAGGTTTCACCCACAAATCTGTTTTGTAGCCTGCAATCTGGCAGAAAAGCCTACAAATCTCCCACTACATCTTTTTGGTGTAAACAATTCTTATTTTCAGTCTTCCTCTCTCTCATGCCAATAAGAAATTTTTAAAGCAATCATGAGCTAAACCCAAAGGTAAGTGGTAAGGCAGGCTTCTCCTAAACGCTCTCCATTATCCCCTCTCTGGCCTCATTTTGAATCATTCTCTCTGAAAATTCGGCAGGAATCTATCACCCTGCAAATAGAGGTGAAGCGAGTGAGGCTCCTTCCCCAGTAATCTTCTCTGGAGCACTGCTGCTGTTTACCTGGGAGCGGAGGTAAAAGCCAGGGCTCTACAACAGGTAGTAAGAAGGGAAATGTGTATCTCCAGGGTAGCCCTGGGCATGAAGTTGGCAGCCTCTGAGGTTAGAGACCCTGGGTGTGAATCCTGGCTGTGTCACTTGATGGTGTGGGCCCAGGCAAGTTGCTGGTTTTTTTTTTCTTAATTGACAAGTAAAAATTGTATATAA